TCACCATGGCACAGCTGGTGCCATCTGCTGCAGGTGTGCTTGTGACCAGTGCCACACTGATCGGGCCAACAGGGATATGTCACTGGATTTCACAAAGGGTTCTTGGCACAAAGTTTCCAGGGGCAAATCTGATAAAATTGACCTCCTTAGTGTTTTAGTAGGGGGTGGAATCAGGTGGTCTTTAAGGTCCCTAAAGCATTCAGTGATTCTGCCATCTGGAGGAGGTTGTGCTGGAGCTGGTGGAAATTCCCATGCAGGCTTCAGTGCTAGATGATAACAAGAGTCTGCAGAAGCCAGCTGTGCTCCACAGCTCCAGCACTGTAGTTGATGTGATTTCTTTCCTCTGTTCCTTAGTGGAGACCTGGATTTGAACCAGAGGAACTGTGGGGGCTGGACCCCACTCATGTACGCTTCCTACATCGGCCACGACAACATCGTGCACCTGCTGCTGGAAGCGGGAGTGAACGTGAACATCCCCACCCCAGAAGGGCAGACTCCCCTCATGCTGGCCTCCAGCTGTGGCAATGAGAGTGTGGCTTACTTCCTCCTCCAGGTGTGTATCCCATAAAACACAGGTGAAGCCACAGCACGTGCTGTAAATGCTCAGGGTGGGATTGTCCACAAGCTGCCACTTTGTGTTCTGGTGTGAGGTCTGCTTTGTGGTGGCATTTAAATTAAACTCCTGGTGTCCCAGCATAAAAGGGCAGTGCTGAAAGCCTGAGCAGAGCAGAAGTAGTAAGGAGTATTGTCTGTTCTCTTGCAGCAAGGGGCAGAGCTGGAGATGAAGGACATCCATGGCTGGACTGCCTTGTTCCACTGCACCAGTGCTGGGCACCAGCAGATGGTCAAGTTCTTACTGGAGAATGGAGCAAATGCCAACTGCAAGTAAGGAGGAATCTGTCATTTCATGTGGGAATCCTTAAAATCTGAAGGTTTTGGGAAAGCTGTAAAAGGCAGACCTCAGAAATAACAGGACTATGATTAGAGTTCCATGTACATAACATAGACCCCTGGCTGGCAATAATTTCATTGTCATTTCATTGTCATTTGTCATTCACTATGGAAGAAATAGGTGGCAGATGAACACACTCCAGCAGACACCTGCTTTTGTCTTCCCCCTGTACCTCAGGATGTGGCACAGCTAATACAGGGACAGTGACCTGCAAACTGAATTGAAGTCTGCCCATGCTGTCACTGTTTATTAAACTAAGATCAAGGGAAATTAGATTTACTGCTTGTTTAATTGTCAGCTAAACACTGACACCTTCTGAACTCAAGTGCACTTCCTAAGTCTTTTTATTGATTTTTTTATATACTCTGAGTTCAGGCTGATTTTTGAAGTGTGCCCTGCATTCCTATGCCTTGGGAACCAGCACACATTTATGCACATGGAATTGCCTGAGGGTAACAAGAGGTTCTTACTTTATTAGCTCCTGCAAAAGTGATTTGGGCTCTTAAAGGCAGATCTGCAGCTGGAAGAGTGATCTGTTGCTGTGCAGCAAGTTTAGGAGCACTGAATCTCTACAGGGAATCAATTCTACAGCAGGACAGCCAGTACATCATAGAGTCTGTGATCAGCAAAAGTTGAGGGGTGGAAATGCTCTGTTAGGGAATGGCAAAAGATCAGCTGTGGTTATACCTGTCCGTGTGTGTGTTCTCTCCCCAGGGAGCCAGTGTATGGGTACACACCTCTGATGGAAGCAGCTGCTTCTGGCCATGAGATCATTGTTCAGTACCTTCTCAATCATGTGAGTGTCCTGGCAGTTCTCTGGGGAGCTGAAGGTCTGGTTCCAGCCCTCAGAGGAACTACCACAAATCTGACACCATGCTTTTTTTGGCAGTGTTATGTTTGCTCCTTGATGACAGTCACCTCTGAAATCCCAGACTTTCAGGACTGTTTTCAGAGTATCTGCTTTCTGCAGGCTGGTACCCTGATTTTATACTGGCCTTGCAGGAATAAGAGTGAGGTCTGACTGTCCAGATATAACTGAATAATGACTGAATTAGAAAACAACTGAAGCTGTAATTTTTCTATTGTGTTTACAGGCTTGCATGCTCAGGCTACTGGACATCTGCATCCAAAAGTTCATGAGCATGCAGGGCTCTTACAGTTTGGTTTAAATCCCTTCTGACTGATCCAGCTTACTGCCAGAAGGAGGCAGCAGTGCAAAACACTTCGGACCAAACAAACCTGTTCCCAGTGGCAATGCTCAGGAGCCCTGGGCTGTTTGGCTTTCAGGAATTGGAGATAACTAAAAAGGCATTCAGGGTATTAGTGCAGCTTGAACTGTCTGTCAAAGGTGATCCTGTGTTGCTGATGGAGGAGCTAAGACAATTTTGGTGGTTTTTTGAAATACATCTATATTTTTTACGCTGCCCAATGCCATGTGCACTTAACCAGGTGTTTTTTTCTGCAGGGAGTGAAGGCAGATGTCAGAGATAACACTGGAGCCACAGCACGGACCCTGGCCATGAAGTATGGCCACACCAAGATTGTGGGGCTGATAGATCTGCACGCAGCCCCAGTGCCCAAGGTCTTCTGCAGAGGTCCAGGTAACACATGTTTGACCTTGTTCATTTTAAGATGAACCTGAAGTGAGGTTGAAAGTATGTTATACTGTGTAGATGGGGTGGGGCTACCTGGTCTATCTTGGGAATTCCTGCATTTCTGTGGATGAAAGAGGCATGAATCCAACAGCTCTTGTCTGCTGGCCCCTTTCTGACCTAGGTTAGCTGTTCCACCTTCCATCTTTAACATTTCTCTTTTTCTTTCCACTGCACTTATAGGACCAGTAGCAAGTAAAACAGGCAAATGACTTCCTGTGCTGTTAACAATCTGTGTTTGAACTACAGGCAACTATGAGGAGCTGAGTTCTTCAGATGAATCATGTTCTGCTCCCCAGAGACAGAGACCTGCTCGTAGGACCAAGGGTCCCAGCATCCATGAAGGGCCCCAGGCCTTGGCCAAGATCACAGCAATTGGCCTTGGGGGAAGGAAGCAGTCTTGCTATGGTGAGGAGAGTTGGGAGCCTGAGGATCGGTCCCCTGAGATCTCAAGTGCACTGCAACTGTTCCTGCTGTCTGTTTTTGATTTGTTGGGATTCATGTGGGGTTCATACAGGACAAAGACAACTTTGTATGGAGGTGTTCACTGTCCAGTGTCTGGGTTAGAAAGAAAACCCCCTGAACTCTTTTGTCAGGGCTGGATATTGATGAGTGGGATACTTTTCTGCTTTCACCTCAGCTGCTGTTCCCCTGACTCTTGAGAACAGTTCAGTTTCCCTTTTTAGGCAGGCTCAAAAGTTTGAGACCCCTTCTGAAACTGATGACAGAGAGGTGCTCACAGCGACCAAAAAAATCACTGATCATAAGAGTGAACTTGTGAGTTGTGCCTTCCCTGATGTTTGAAATGCTTCTAAAAATGAGATTGCAAAGCCTTTGCAGTAGACCAAGAGAAAGATGATCCCAGTTAGACATCCTGGATTCAGTGCTAGGTTTGTTTTGCTGTCTGTCATAGGTATTTCTCAGACTGGTTGCCTGGACTAACCAAGGTTATGGACTTGGAAGCATGTTCAAAGCTCAGTTCATTCTCTTAAACACAAATCTGTGTTATCCCCCAGGCTGTATTGGAATGCTACTGTCAGCTTAAATGTCAGTGGGATTCTCCTGGTGTTTTAGCAGAGCTGCAGGGGATTGGTTCTGCAGGGTGTGCAGGGCTGCTCTCCTAAGCAGCTCTTTCTCCCTGTTTGTAATTTGAGTATAACAAGGTGAGGGAGTGCTGTTTAAGGTACATCTCTGCTATAAGCTGTTTTCTCTGACTGTCTTTCAATGTAAGTTGATGTGCTGTGGGGTCATGTGAGGGAACTGCAGGAACCTGCATTCTTCAGGTGCTCTCTGTGCTTTTTAGAATGAAACTTGTCAGTTGTGAGCACAATCTCTCATTTTGGTCCTTTTCAGATCTAGAAGTGGTTACATTTTCTGCAGGAGCCTCCCTGACTAACTTGCATCCTAATGTCTGTTCTCCCCTCCTGTTGCACACAGAGCAGGTGCCCCCTCAGGGCTATGTCACCTTCAGCAACGATGGCAGCTGTGTGCCAGGTGTCATCCGGCACAGGGACGTCACCTCCCCGATCAACGAGCTGGACGTGGACAGCAGCAGCAGCAGGGGTGAGTCACTGTCTCAGACATGCAGTGCACACCTGGGGGTGACTCCAGGCCTTGCCTTCCTGTCCCACTGAGGTGCTGGGATTGGAATGTCTCTCCTGAGGGAAGGCTGGGATGGTTTAGCTACAGAAGATGAAGCTCAGTGTGGTAATTTCATCCGTTTGTACAAATAGTCTGAAGGAGGGTGAGGAGAAGACATTTCTGGCTGTTTCCAGAAGTGTCTCTGGTGGCAAACAGGCTTGGGGAAAGGAGAGTGCTGGGGATCAGATGTGAACTCTCTGCCTCAGGTTCATCTTGTGTCCTGAGTGCTGCACATGAAGTCTAGCTCTGAATCTCTCCTTCCTTTACACCTCTGGGATGTTTTGCTGGTAATAAAACAAAACCAGAACGTAACAAAGTTGTACTTCACTATTTTTTCCTGTTCCTTTCCAGAGGATAGTGCTTTGTCCAGCAACAGCTTGGGAACTGTCAGAAGCAGCAGCAGCAGCAGTGAATGCCTGATTAGAATCCCAGGAGTCAGCAGTGAAGGCTCTTTGGAAAGCAATGAGGTGGATTTTCTTTTCTTTGCCTTCAGCTTGGGCAGTGCTTTCACCCTTGGGAGACTCCAGTGCCATGGGAGCCTGTAGGACCAGGCTGGGTGAGGAAAGGCTCTTCCAGGGACAGGAAAACCAAGCAAGGGGAAGAGGTTGGAGGTCACTCACAGCTCACATGGGTCAAGGCAGCTCTGGGGTACAAAAGGGCCTTTAGGTCTTGGAGGAGCCTTCACTTGTGAGCCCCCTGATCGTGCCATCTCTACACAATCATCCTTTCCATCCTGTGGGTGGTTTTGTGTTTTCCAGGACTCTGACCACACCAACAGCCCCCCGAGTCGGAAACAAGCCAAGAGCTTCAAGGGCAAGGCCCGCTACAGCAACAGTGACAGCCAGGGGAGCCACTGCCTGGGGAAGGCTGGGGGCTGCTGCCAGCACCTGGTCCTTCCTGAGCCCCCAGCCTACACAGGGCCCCAGGTAAGCACAGACTGTCCTGCAGGCTCTGTCGCTGTGCCAGGTGTGGGAGGCTTTTCCAGGGTTACCAAAACACCTGATATTCCAAACTGAAACGCTTGTGAAACAGCCATTTCTTGTAGAGGAGCTGTTTGCTGAGATGTTGCTGGGAGGGGTTTCCTAGATCTTCAGGCCTGTGGGTGGGCTGTCAAACCTGGCAGTGGGGTGGGCTGGGGTGGCTGATTGTGTGTCATTCTGCTCTGCTCTTGTTAGAAGAGGCATGGCTGCAGCAGAGGCCAGTCCTGGTGTGTGACTGTGGAGAAGGGCAGGGAACTGTGGGAAGTTGTGGTTGCTGCTGGTACCCAGAAAGGTGTTACAACAGCATGAGCAAATATTTGTCATTAGGAGGAATGGTGATGCTTTTGTTGAGAGAATGTTACTAAGTTTCTTTTGTCTGGGCTGCAGGACCTGGCAACATTCCTTGAGGAGATTGGGTGCCTGAAGTACCTGCAGGTGTTTGAGGAGCAGGACGTGGATCTCAGGATCTTCCTGACCCTCACAGAGAGTGACCTGAAGGAAATTGGCATCACGTGAGTGTCTGTCCTGTCCTGTCTGTCCCAGCTTCTCCCTACAAACCACGTCCAGCCTGTTCAGGAAGGTTTAGCTGGGGAGTGCTGCTCCCTTCTGGCTGCCTCCCACACAATTTGACATCCCCGTGTCCTCAGCTGTAACACACTCATGCTTCTGGAGGTACCTTGGAGAGACCAGGGCACTGCAGAGGTGCTGATGGTGTCCTGTTGTGCCCAGGGACAGGTGTGCAGGGCCTGACCCGTGTTGGTTCCATCCCCAGGCTGTTTGGCCCCAAGAGGAAGATGACGTCGGCCATCGCGCGCTGGCACAGCAGCGCCCGCCCGCCCAGCGACGCGCTGGAGTTGGCCTACGCCGACCGGCTGGAGGCAGAGATGCAGGAGTTGGCCATCCAGCTGCACAAGGTGAGGCTGCTGCCAGCTCCTCAGGGCCTACACCCTGCAGCAAGCCATCAGTGCTGTGGTTTTGTTGTGCCTCTGATGGTTTTTCCTTCACCTTAAGCCATGACTTAGAGTGGACACACTTGGTGTACAAACAGCCAAGTACAACTTTCCCACTCCTCATCCTTGGTGCTCCTTTGTGTCTGTTCCCATCCAGCTGAGAACTATAGGAGCAGGAATCAAACCCCTACTCTTTCCCAGCATTTTTATGGTGCAGTCATCAGTGCACAGACTTGTGTTGTTTTGGGAGATTTGGACTCATAAGTAACTTTGTAAACAGAGAGGAAGAGGGAATTGTAACTATGGAGCTGGGCTTAGTGTGGAGAGAACCTACAAGTTTTATCCAGCTTCCTTTCCCACTGGAAAGGAACATTCTGGCTGCCTGAGGCATTAAAATAGCAGTGACTTGAGAGATGTTCAGTGCTCCCAGCCTGATCCCCAGTGTGCTTTGCTGCAGAGGTGTGAAGAGGTGCAGGTGATGAAGGGCCAGGTGTGCCAGGAGCAGAAGCTGCGGGCAGTGGCTGAGAGCTGCTTGATGGAGCGGGATGAGACCTGGAATGCCATCCAGTGCCAGCTCAGAGAGGCTCAGGCCATCACCACAGATGCTGGAGTCCTGCTGGATCAGATCAAGTAAGTCATTCCCAGGAAGTGACACTGAGACTGCTGGGAAATGGGGTTTGGGGTCATATTGGCAGCCTTACAGGTGATGCTCAGGGTAAGGCAGGAGAGCTCACCTGGCACCTGGACACATTTGGATCCTGCCTGACTTCCCCTAGTGAAAAGCCACAGCCATGGGAGCACATGTGAAGCTTTGGTCAGTGGCCTTTTTGGGGGTGCTGGGTGCTCCTGTTTCAACTAAAAGCAACCAAAAGGCTGAGGCTGTGCCTCCCCTGGGTAAGACTTGGTGATCAGGACCTTTTTGAATACAAAAAGGAGTTTTTAACCCATACCCTGGCAAACAATGTGCAGTAACTTGCAAGCGAAGAATATTTTTCTTGCAACTCTGTGACAGCTGGCAGAATAATCTAAATAACCTTCTGACACTCCTTTTACTGCCTTTGTGGTGCTTTTCTCTGTGCCCAGTTGGACTGCTCTCATGGGTCTTGTTTTGTCCAGTGATACAATAGGGATATCCCTGAAAGTGGCACAAATCCTGCTGCTTATGGATGCTAGCCCAAGGGAGTGGGGTCTGCTGGCTTCCAAGCCAGGGTGAGCTGAAGTTGGATCCAGAAGCTCAGCAGAGCAATGTTCCCACTGCAAGGGGCAGAGCCTGGCTTGTCCCCCTGGCTGAGGAGCTGAGGCTGCTGTAGAAGGGCCCTGCCATGCTCTGAACATAAACTGCTTGAATTGGTGGCATGGTGATGACAGCCTGAGTGCCCCTCAAGCCTCTCCTGAGGTCATTTCCTTTGCCCATTAGAAACCTTGAATTGGGCCTGATTCTCCCACAGACCAACACAGCCCCTGGCTTGGGCTTCCTGCTGCTCACCCCAGCCCCTCCTTGTCCTGTCCCCCCACAGCTCCTCTGTGCAGAGCCGGCTGTGGCTGCAGATGGGCAGCAGTGGCTGGGAGCTGAGCAGTGCCAGCACCCCAGGCTTGGGCTGGGGCACTGTTGTAGTGTGTTGTTAAGTTTCTTGTGTTATTCCCCCAATTTATGTATTGTTCTCCCCTATTATGTGTAAAATGG